TGCAGCACACTCCGAGCCCGGCACAGAACCACGGCGAGGCTCTGGAAGGGGAGCACAGGGGCCAGAGCTGCAGATGCTATTGCAAATACAGCAATATTAATAGTGCAGCAGCTGCCCTATAGAACCCCAGACTGGTTTGGGTTGGAAGGGACCTTAAAGCTCATCCACTTCCAGCCCTGCAGAGCTCATCACTCAGTTTTGCCAGGCTCCATGTGCCAAAGCTCACTGGGTGCCCAGAGTCGGATGCAACTGGTACAGAGCAGGATGCTCGTAGGGCTGGTCCTATCCTAGCTCCTAGCCCCAGGCAGGTAACACGGAGCTTATAGTGGCCAACCAACCTCCTAGCAGGAATCCTACCTGATAGCTGGGGTTTGCCTCAGCTGTGGATGGAAATTCAGCTCCGGATTCAGCAGGCAGCGTTCCAGTGAGACAGGGCTCTGACAGGAAAACCTCTCTGGGGCGGGCACTGCTTCAGTTGAAGAACGAACCTGCTGAACCCCTACCAGAAAGATTCCCCTTGCCCACGAAATCACAGATGTACCTTGGAGCAGCTCCTGCTGCTCGGAGAGGGGCGGGGAACAGAAAGGGAGCTTTGAACAGGGCACTCCAAGATCCGTACTGCAAAAGTATTTGGGGCTACACCGATGCAATACCGGGTCAGTACCGGTGCGCTGCTGGTGCATTGCCGGCTATACCGGTGCAGTACCGGCAGCCGGCGGGCGAGGGCTCCCGAGCCGCGCTCTCCCCGGAGAGCCCGGTACCGGCGGGGTGGGGGGCGCTGAGCATCTCCCCTAACTCGCCGCTCGCCCGGAGCCATCGGCTTCCGTCGGGTCCGGTGGCTCCCACGGGAGAACCCAGTCCCTCCTGCTGCACAGTCCAGGACCCACCTCGGGCAGCTGCTGGCCCCGGGGTGCTCCCGGCGCTCGGCACCCATTGCAGCCCTGGGACTGCACCAAGTGATGCCCCGGAGAGCCACATCCCACACTCACTTCCATCTTCTGGCCCTTTCCTCCAAAGCAGCCCCGGCATGCAGATGCTTCACATCCCAGGCTGGAGGGGTGAGACAGATCCTTCACCGTGGGGTGAGGATGTTTAGCCCCACAACCCCTAGGTTTCTGGAAGACACTGTCCAGTTTAAGGAAAGCCTTTAAGGCTTTAAAGCCTTACAAAGGCCTTAAAGGGCTTTCCCAGCCCTTCCTTTGCATCTCACACCTCGTGCGCTTTCGCTGTGTCACATTTCCACCAAACATTTGCCCAACCAACAAAGCCCTGCCTGGCGTCTCCAGCAGACCCGGCACTGGTTTGTGCAGAGATTCCCGCTCCATGGAATCCTGCATATCCCCCCGCCCTCCTGCCCCCAAATAATTCATTCCCTTCCCTGGGGCTGGGGGTCACACAGTGGGGAGAGCCCTGCTGCGTCTTGCAGCCCAATTTGCTATGCATTTCCACACCATTTGCTTCCCTTTCTTTTTCGTGCACTGGAAAGATGCTTGCTGCCCAGGGGTCCCAACTGCTCCAAGATGGTAACGTAACCACAAGCACACACGTATTTATTTATGGCACACACACAGCTTGCAGGAAAACTGCTGCATCCTGAAATGCCCGATCTGGGGGTAGCACGTGCCCCTACAGTTCCCACTGCCACACGATGTGCTCTCTGGTCATCCCATCGCACACACTGCACAGCTCCATCCCACCTGCAGTGCCCAAATGACACAGATCCCTGTGCTTCAGTTGGCTGCTGCCTTAGAAAAACAACCACCATTCACCCACAGCAACATGGCCACAGTGGCCCCAGCTTCATGCTCTGGAGCCGGGCACATTGCATGTACTTGGCATCCCCTAGGAACCTCCCAGTGCTGTGATCCTGATCCCTCACTCAGGCAGCCCCGAGCCGGTGGCACGGGAGGGAAGCCCCTGACGTGCTCCTTTTTCCTGTGGGGAGCAGGCAGAAAGACAGAGGTCCCATGGGATGGCCACACTCTCGAGGCCCCTGCGCCTCCCTGGCCACAGCCCATTGCTCTGGGCACCCCAGGGAACAACTGTGTCACCCAGTGCTGGTATAAATCCCAATGGGATGGGTCCTCACTACTGCAGCCCTGCTCAACATGGCCACTCCAAACCCTGCAATGAAAGCCAGAGTCCTAACAGGAAGGTTTGATCCTCAGGTGGACACCTTCCTCCAACAGCAGAGCATGACAGCCCCCTGCTAGCAGCATAGCCCAGGTTACACAGCATTCCTGGGATGTCCAGCATACCTGGGAAGAGCTACAAATCTTGTTCCACTGGATTAGTCCAGGGATTTGAGCCTGGGGGCTTTTTAGGACTCCAAAGGTTTTCTCCACAACTGCCAAGTTAACTGGCTCCCCTGTCACCTACCTCAGCTGGAGCGGGGAACGTGGCAGCCAAGTTATCTACTGCCTGTTCCCAAGTTTCCCCGGATGGAAGCACAGAACTCAGCCCATCATCCCTCACACGTGGAGCAGCAGCAGCAATGGGCATCTCCCACTGCATCCCCCCAGCAGCAGGAGGCAGAGCTGGGCAGGAAGCACTCATGGACAACTTCAAATCTTTTCATCACTAGAACATCCTGCAATGGCACCGAGGAAGCCGGGCAGTGGGACCAGCACCCCTGGCGTTGGAAAGGGAGGGCAGTGGCACTCACTTGGTCACTGCTGAGCCCAGGAGCAAACGGTCTGAGCCACAATGCAACAACTGACAAGATCCCAACGCAGAAACACACGCAGGGTTTGCATCCACTGCCTGTCTGTGTAAACCTCCAAAGCCACGAGTTTGGGCTTTCTAAAGCTCACATCAATTGGGTTTCTTTTCCCTTTTCTGAGAAAAAGTGAGATTTTTCGTTTCCCCACACAGCTCCATTAAAGACATCAGATCTCAGGAAACCTGGGATCAGCCTGGGAAAGCAGAGCAGACACAGCCTGGGCTCGGTGTGCTTTGTGTTAGAGGAAACACCCGCTCCGCCTCAGCCGTCACATCCAGCTTTCAAACAACACAAAGTAAGGGGCAGCTCCCAGCTGGGGAGAGCTGGCAGGAAGCAGGAGCCCACCACGGCCCATGTGCCCACTGCGACCAGTCCCCGTGAACCCCAGGGATGTAATGGGATTTCCAGCCCATGGAGCAGCACAGTCCTTTTCCACAACAGGGTAAAAAGGGGACTTGTCTCCTCGCTGACACAGAGGCATGAAAGAAATACGGGCTGTTGCTGGAGAGGAACCGCTCAGGCTGGCACGAATGGTGGGAATGAAGCTGCTGAAAAAGCCCCGGGCCAGGCACCAGCCGTGAGCACACGCTCCACCCTCAAAGAGACCCCAGTGTCAGGCACAGAGTCCCCCTGCTCACATCACCTCTTCCTCCTTGCTCCAGGAAGGGATGAGCTATTCTACTCCTGTATCCTCATGGGAGCTCAGGAATGCCAGCACCCACCCGACGTTACCCAAATCGGGCCTCATCTCCCGGTGGTGCTCATCCCAGCACCAGCATCCAGACCCCGGCCAGCCCCACACACTTGGTATGGCTGGTCCCAGAGCTGCCATGAAGGGTGCAGTGCCCGCATGCTGCTTGTGCACGCAGAGGGAAGGTCGCCCGTGGGTTTAAGACGCACAGCACACAAAGAGCAGGGCTGATGGAAGGTGAATTAACTCCAAAGGGAAAGCGCAGCGCAGGGTTACGTTTCCAAGTCACCTTTGGGTAACAAAATGCTTCCAGCGTTTCTCCTGGTCAGTGAACAGCCGCAGTAATTGCAAAAGGAAAACAATAAAGAGGCTCAGTGCACAGCCTCAGACAATTACCTTGCATCGAGCAGCACCCCAGGGACACCCACTGCCCTGCAGACCCCAAGGCAGCCCCACTACGGTACCCAAGCTACTGCTCCCCCTCCATCATGCCAGGGGTCCCCAGCAGTGACATCCTTGCCTCTAGCCTGGAGCTCACAGCACTTGCCTAACCCCGGCATCGCTTACCGGAGACGGTGCTGCCCAGGTTCCACGTGAGGCCCCGCGCGCAGGACACCCCATCGCCATCCACGTCCCGCTCAGCCGAGGGCCACCACAGCCACCGCGACGCCGCCGGCGCGCCGGACACTCAGTCCCCCCTGGCTCCGGCACGGTTAACGGCGGGCTGCGGGCCGGCGGCTGCCAACTCCCCGAGGTGCTGACTCATCTTCTTCCATGCACCATATTTCATCGCTCCACGCCCACCGCGCACAACCGCCGGGTAGCAGCTCCTCACGCTGCCTCGCACGCCCCGGTGGCGTGCGGGGCTGCGGCGGGGTCACAGCCGCGGCGCGTTCAGTAGCACGGCTCAGTCTGCCACCATAGCTCGATTCACCGGCACGGCTTGGCTCGGTAACACAGCTCCGTTTGCCGGCACCGCTTGGCTCATTAGCCCGGTTCGGCAGAGGGGAAGGATAATGGGTCAAGCCCCCGTTGTCTTCAAGCCTGGGTCTGACCCGGCGAGATGGTGTTTAGGGGTATCGCCCCCCTCCCCCCCGCGGAAACACGTTTTATTATATTGCAACCCACAACCAGACCCCGAACCAGATCCACAACCAGAACCGAACCAGAGCCACAACCAGAACCGAACCAGAGCCACGCCACAGCCGCCTGCTCGGGCTCGGCGGGGACCGGCGGAGACCAGCGGGGACTGCCCGCGACCCCGGGCTGCCCTCCCCAAAGCCGCTCGGTCCCCGGGAGGGACCCTCGGCCGCGGGACCAGAACCCCCCCGGCACAAAGCCCCGGTCCCCCCGCCCCATTGTCCCGCTCCGCCGGCGCGCGCAGGAAGAGGAGGGGTCGCGCGCAGACAATGCCTCCCCCCCTTTTGCCCCCACCGCCACCATCAAGCCCCGCCCCCCGCTTCCCATTGGCCGGTGCGGAATTTGGGGAGCCCCCCCCCCCAAACTACCCGCCCCCCTCCCTCCCGCTGCCGGGGGGCGCGCACGCGGCGATGGGGGGGGGGGGGGGCTGCGAGGCGGGAGCGCGCGCGCGTGGCCGCCATCGGGGGCGCGCCCGGGGGCTCCCCTTGTGTGTGTGTGTGCGTGCGGGGCCGGGGCCATGGAGGAGCTGAGCAGCGTGGGAGAGCAGGTCTTCGCCGCCGAGTGCATCCTCAGCAAGCGGCTCCGCAAGGTGGGACCGGCCGCGCACCCCCCCCAACCCCGCCGCACCCCCACACCCCCCCAACGCGCCTCTCGCCGTCTCTCTTCTCTCCGCAGGGCAAGCTGGAGTACCTGGTCAAGTGGCGGGGCTGGTCCTCCAAGTGAGCGGGGCTGCGCGGGGGGGGCTGCGCGATCGGTGCGCGGCCGCGGGTGCCGCCCGCCCGGCCGCTTTTGTTCGGGTCGCGCCGCTCCTTTTGTTTACAAATAAGCGCGGCCTCGGCCCGGCCCTCCCGCCGCCGCGTGGGGCTCGGATCGCCCCCAAGCCCCCTCCTCACACCGGGGGGGCCGGGCCGGGAATCCCCCCGTTAGCGGCGAGCCCCGCGCCCCCCGCCCTCCCGCTGCCACCGGAGCTCCCCTGGGACGCGCGGGGCTCGCCCATCCCCTCGGCGGCGCGGCCGCCCCCTCCCCGACCTGCTTCCCCCGGCCCCTTCTCCCGCGGCGGTACCGGTCCCCGGTGCGGGGATGCTCCGGCCCCAGCAGCACCGGGCGCACGGAGGGCCCGGCTGTCCTTGGGTGAACTTCCCGGTTCTGGGCCGCTAAGAGGGTGGGGGGGGACCCCCAGCCCCTGCTCTCCCCCAGCCCCGGGTCGTGTGTTACAGGCACAACAGCTGGGAGCCCGAGGAGAACATCCTGGATCCAAGACTGCTCCTGGCTTTCCAAAAGAAGTGAGCGAACTCTAAATATTTCTAAGGGAACGATAAAGTCAATTAACTTCTAATTGGCTGCGCGTGCAGTGGAAGTTGTGGAAACAAGAGCCCGGAGCTCGGCCCGTGCCTTTTGTGGCACGGCCCTTTTGTTCACCCCCTGAAATCACAGCCCAGGTCTGCCCAGCACGGCTCGGTTTTGCACCCACCCAGGGCTGGGTTTGCACTGGCTGCACAACAGGGACACGATGATGCCACAGAGACCTTTGGCTCCCGGTCCTGGTCCAATGACCGGGACCTCAATGGGGATTGCAGGACTGGGGACTTGGACAGCACGAAGTGCATTCATGGAGGGCACTTGTGAGAGGGAAAGGAGGTAACAGTGGGAGAAAATGGTGTCCTCTGCCCAGAAGCACCAATTGCACAGCAGGGATCAGGCATGGAGGTAGGAAGGTAGCCAGCTGGCTGTGATAATCACTGAGCTGCCAAATATTTTGGCTCCATGTTAATAAAAAATTGTGACAGTTTATGGTAAGATTTAATTATAATTTGTTTCTGGGTCCATTTTTCAAGAATAGAATCTGGTGGATAGTGCAGACAGCATGGTGCTTAACTAGCTGTACGTAGTGCAGCTTAACACCGTCCTTAACCAGAGATACAAAGTGCTGTAGTGCCCTGAAAACACTCTTGCATCACATCACATCCATGGTCCAACTCTTCTCTTGGCCTGTGCCAGCCCCACAGCGTGCATGATCCAGCCGCCATGTGGGGAAGTTTAACTTCCCAAGGCCCCAGGTTTCCAAGTTCTTAGGGCTCTTTGACTGCACTTGAGCACGGTGTGCCTATAAGAGAAGGGTTCAAGTGAGTGATATGCTGGGAACCCATAGGATCATGTGTCGGAATGAGTTAAGGACACTACCCAGGTGCTGGAGTGGGACCTGAACCTTCAGCATCCCCAGCAAGTGAGGGTTTCATGACAGAAGCAAGAGAGGAACCAGGCTGGTTTGGGATGGTTTTTTCTTCCCTGCAAACGTTGTCCTCAATCATTGTTTCTTCAGGGAGCACGAGAAAGAAGTGCAGAATCGGAAGAGAGGCAAGAGGCCCAGGGGCAGGCCCAGGAAACATGTGGTGAGTCTCGGTGCTTGTGGAAATCCACAGCCATGATGGTGCTGGAGGGCACCAGCACGTGTCTGTTCACAGCATAGGGTGGCGGCTGCTTGGGCTCCAGAGGGTGGTGAGGACACAGTGATGCCAGCAGGGGCTTTGGAAACTGCAGTGATGGATAGGGGGATGAGATTGCCTGCAAGGAGGACGTCCCTTCATCCCTGCAATGGTGGAGAAGGAGACAGAAGAGTTCCCTAGGTCCCACTTGGTATTTAAGCCTGGTTGGCTTTGCCCTGTGCGCTCCCCAACTCTTTCATGGCAGAGGATGAACAGATCAGCCAACATGGAGGAAGAACCTGTATGTGCCGAAGGCACCCAGACAGGCAACGCTAAAGGATTTGCAATGTCCGTAATGGCTCTTCAGGGATTTGTGTTAACTTCCCCTGTCTCCATTGCTTTGCAGGAACCAGAGATGCCTGTAAAAACTAAGTCAAGTAGCTCCTCTTCCTCCACATCCTCCTCTTCCTCCTCCTCTGATGAAGAGGATGAAAGCGACCTGGAAGCAAAGAGAGGTTCCCGCAGCAGAGAGACTCATCCAGTACCACAGAAGAAAGCTCAGATCCTGGTGGCAAAGCCCGAACTGAAGGACAGCTCCAGGAAGAAGCGTGGACGAAAACCTCTTCCCCCAGAGCAGAAAGCAGCTCGAAGGACCGTGAACCTGACAAAGGTGCTGAAAACATCCCGGAAGGAGGTGGGCAGCAGCAACAAGCTGATGGGGAAGCTGCAGCCCCAGCACGGCACACAGGGCTCGGGCATGGCCCTGCTGAAGGACCCACCGGGCACCTTGGCTGGGCTTAGCTCGGGGGGGTCATCAGCAGAAAACCTGCCCAACATGATGAAGAGCGGCTCCACGAGCCCAAACCGAGCCATCAGCTGGCAGAGCTCCATCGTGCACTACATGAACAGGATGTCCCAGAGCCAGAGCTCGGCCGAGAGCTCACCCCTGGGCAGGCTGGCGCTCAAGGCGCAGGCAGCCAGTAAAAGCGGCTTAGGGCTGGACTTAAAAATGAGGAACCAGAAAGCATCTGGAGAGCTTGGGCTGAGCACGCAGGGACCCAAGAGTGCCAAGGCTCTGGGTGGCGCTGGAGGGGACCAGAAGTCAGGGTTTGCTGCAGGAAGCCAAGTGCTACACAATGGCAGTAAGATGCCTGCAAGCTCGTCCAGCTCCGGCTCCCAGCCGGCCTCCAGCCAGGAGCTGAATCTCCAGGCTCTAAACCTCCAGAGTGTCAAAAATGGGCCGAACGTGGCCGGTGGGAGCAGCGTCCCCCGTCACCTCTGCACTGCCATGTCCAAAGGCGCCGGTGGTGGCACAGCTGCAAGTGCAGGTGCCGGTGGTGTGAAAGGCAGCACAGCGGGTGCTGGGTTGAATGCTGCCAGCTCGGGCTCGGGGGGGGACAGCAGCAAGAGCAAGAAGCAAACACACCGGGCAGGAGACAGGGACTTGGCCAAAGGCGGTGCAGCCGGCACGCAGGATGGGCACGCGGCTGCGGAGAGCCGCAAGCCAGCAGCACTCTCCGAAATGAGCACAGGTGATGAGACCAGCTCGGATTCGGACCGGGATTCGGCTTCCTTCCCGGGAGTGGGTCAGAACATGTCTGTCTCCATCCAGACCAATCAGGACTGGAAACCCACCCGCAGCCTGATCGAGCACGTCTTTGTCACCGATGTCACCGCCAACCTGATCACGGTGACAGTCAAGGAATCCCCCACCAGCGTTGGGTTTTTCAACCTACGGCAATACTGAGCCCAGGAGCATGAGAGGAGGAAGAGGGTCCTTCAGCCTCTCCCTCCACTTTGCCCAGCTCTTCCATCAGGGTTTTTCTTTCTTCGAGTGAATGCAGAGACCTGCTGGGACTCATGTCCAGAGAAGCTTGAGAGAGACGCAGTGAAACCTGCTCAGAACTGCCAGCGGGTCGATGGATCCCTCCCGGCTTTTCCCCATCCTCGCCTGGAGCAGCATCCGGAGCAGAGGCAGCTGATGCTGTTCTCCCGGAGCAGGGGCACTGGTGCTACCGGGGCTGCCAGGCTGGCAAGTTTTGAGCCAGGCTTCACTGAATGTGGGTTCCTTTGCTTTAGACCTTGAAACAGCTGCTGCCAAGGTCTGCAGCTCCCCAGCAGCAGGAGACGGGCCAGGCTTCTACTCAGGAGAGCAAGAGGAGATCCTTTTCTTTCCTCTGGGCTCCCCACGTGTCTGCCCCTGCACCGTGGCGAGCCGCAGGTCAATCCAAACGAGGCGGCCGCTGCTCGCAGCCCTGGGGCCAGCTGCATCCGGGGGTTTTTCAGGGTATGCTCAGCCCAGCCACCCCCCTGGGCCAGGTCACTTCCAATGATGCAGTCCACGACGTTCCTGTTGTGGTTTCCAGCTGATAGGGAAATATTGTTTACATTTTTTAATAAGGAAAAATCCTGGTTTTGTCTTTGAGGGAGAGGAATAAACCCCGTCGAGGGAAGGCTGAAGCCCAGGTGCCACCGACGGCGGGTGTCAAAGGAGCCTCTTTCAGAGCAAGGGATGCTGTTAGCAGGTACCTCTTTACTGCCTGCGGTCCTACCTTGGGAGCCAGAGAGCTGCTGATTTCTTCACAGTGACTTGATGGCAGAGGAGCTGTTTGAGGAGCTCTGCACAGGTGGGTTGGAGCAGGTGGAAGGGGAAGGAAAGGAGAAGGGGCAGGGAGCAGGCAGTAGGTACCCGAGGCTGTTGTTCCCTGAGGAGATGGAGACCCTGCAGCAGCCATTCACCTTTGTCTTGCCATCCTGTGCCAGCAGCTGGGTATTCATTTTGGCTCATGATTGCAAGCAATAATGGCTTTTTATGGAGGTTTTTTTTCCCTACTGTAGATTCCTCTTATGAGCCAAAATTAGCAGCAGTAATTCAGGCAGAGTTTAGTAGCATTCAAGGTCATTTTTGTTCTGCTATGGCTGAACTCTGTTCTCAGAGGAGATAAAAAGCCTGAACAAGGTTAGGAGGTGCCTCCAAAGGGCTTCCCACCAGCATCAGGGCTCCCCACGTGCTCGGGGCATCTTGCTTTGCCACAGGCAGGGACATTCACAGGGTCATCACATACAGAGAAGAATGGACCAAACTGCAGGTACAGGTAATTCTGCCACCACACACACTGCAGTTGCATTTGCTGCTGGTGGAACTGCAATTCTCAGGTGAAATGAAAATGCCAGCACTGGCTGGATGTGCTGCCTGGATCTTCAAGAGATGGATGGTTGCATGGATGGATGGAGGAACGGTACCGAGCAGTGGCCACAGCCTTTGCTGGATCAGCCTCCAGTGCTCTACAGTCACTGTCCCTTAGCTTTTGTATTCAATCCCCAGATGTCCTGTTGGTTATGGCTTTGAAGTTGTGTTACAGTGCCAGGGATCTGTCAGGAATGTGTGCAGTCGCTGTGCCGTGCGTTGCTCTGCAAGGCAAGGGGCCAAGGGGAGAGGAGGGAGCATTGTCCATGGAGGAAGCTCCCAAGGATGGAGCTGTCCATGGAAGAGGCTCCCAAGGATGGAGTTTCCATTGAGCTCCACAATGCCAAAATGTCACAGTCTGTGCTGTTGACCTTCTAGTCTTTAACTTTGCCAAACGAGCTACCGTTGCTTTGAAGAGTCCAAGGAAGCGTTAACCTGCATCAGCAGAACCAGGTGCTCCAGCATGGTCTCTGCTGGGTGGGCTTTTGTGTTCAGGATACGAGTGCTTTTGGAGAAGAATCAAGTAATCTGGGAGCACGGGGTGAGGCTCTTACCCACACACCAAATGTTTGCTACTTGGCCTTTGCAAATCCAAACTGAACAATGATGTGCCTTTCGGACCGTCCTTATCTCAGCCTGGTCTGTGACACCGGTCCCACAACAGGTTTGTGCCTATGCAAAGTGAGATGATCACAGGGTCCTAGGGACAGTGGTGCCCCACTCCCAGTGAGATGCCCAGAGGTGGGGCATGCTCACCAAGAGCAATAGAACATGGGGCTGATGTCCCCAGTAGTGAAGAAGCATCTGTAGATGCTCCATGAAGGGGTCAGGCACCGAGCATCCATGGAGGAGCTGTGGTAGTGGGTGCTGTGCTGGCTGCACACTGGCTCCAAGGTGCTCACCTGCATTTCCTGGTGTGGGAAATGGTGTGGTCCTGCCTTCTGCATGGGCAAAGGGTGGCTGGTCCTGGGCTTGTACCCAGGGGAACATCCCAACAGCGAGCAGCTTTCCTCTGTCACCCACCCTTCCCCAGCGTGTCCCCTCCCATAGCAGCAGGACTCTGCTGTCGCCGCTTGCTATTGTGCCTTTTACTCACCAGCAGTTCGATTCCAAAGGTCTAAGGATGGTGAACGTGATAATCCAGACGGTTTTCCGACCTTCGCCTCCTCCCACGTTCTTCCCCAGCCCCTCCTGGCCTCATGTCTCAGGCTCCCGGCTTGCCCAGCGGTGCTGCTGTGTCTGAACGCTGGAGTTTGCCTCTCAAAGGCACATTATGTGAGTGATTTACTGTAACCTTTTGTGGCCAGGGGTTGAAAGCTGCTGCAGACCCTGTTCACCATTCTGACCATTAGTATTCAAGGTCTACCTTATTTTTCCTTTCCTCTCTACCCCGCCCCCCCCCCATTTTAAGTTTGCTGCTATGGGTTGGAGCGCTCAGCCATGTGTCACACAGCCAATTAAAGGTTTGTCACTTGTCATTTTCTAAGGGCTTTCCGATGTGGAAAGTCCTGCAGTATTTGTGTATTGAATGGATATTTTCTCCAGGCATAATCTGGTTAAGCAGACTTGTTGTTTTCCGTTGGACTGGAAGAGGTGGCCAATTCAGCCATCTTCCCTAGAAACTTAGTCTATTTTTATATATATATTTTGTACCAAAAAAACCCTGGAGCTTGTGGAAGGATGGAGATGGTTTAGAGGGTTCAGTTTGTGTGGAGCTCCTGGGTTGGGCGTGAAGGATCCAGAGCCGGCAAGAAGGTTTTTACGGAAAGAAATTGAGGAATGGGTAAAAACAAACAATTGTTCTTGTAACTTGTGCCAGTCACTGCTCTGATTTGTACGTTTTAATTAAAGGGAGAGCCAAATCACTCCTGTATGACACTTATAATTGCTTTAAACTACAGCTGTTTGTTTGCTTTTCTTTCCAGAGAACAAAAGTTGGAGATGTTATTACCCTGGGAAAGGGAAAGGGCTCTGTGGAGCGGGATGGGTGTGGGGCTGCTGTGGTCACTGCTCCAGGCCAAAGACCCCCAACGGGGCTGCCATTGCCTTGAGACACCCGCATCCCCCGGAGAGCCATGCTCGCGAGGCTGACGGGAATCGGGGACACCCCCTATGCTTCCATTCCCGGGTTCCCCCTCCGCAGCCCAGCTCTTACCGGCGGTGATGAACGCTCCGTCGGGCTCCGCTGCATCTGGAGCTGCGCCCAGCACGGGGGCGGGGGGGGCACCCGGTCACCCCCCACCTGCGGGACCGGGGCCGGCCCGGTGAGGGCGCTGCGCGGCCACAGGAGGCTCCGGGTCTCGCCGTCGAGGCCAACGTCGGGGGAGAGGGGAGGCGCGGGGGCGCCCCGGCACGGGGGGAGTCCGCTCCTGCGGGCGCGTCCGGGGGCTCCACCAGCCGGTGCCCCCTCCCCGCCCGTCCCCCTCCCTCCCCGCCGGGGCCCCGTGTGAGAGCCCTCCCGCGGGGCCGGGAGAAAGGCGCCATTGTCCAGCCCCTCTCCCGCTCCTCCGCGACGCTCATTTTCCGCGCCCAGCCGCTGACAGCTCCCACGGTGCCGGGTCCGCTCCTTGCGCCGCCGGAGCAGAAAAAGGAGGTTAATGAGGACACGGCTTAACCCCCACCGAGCCCGCTCCCCTCCGCGCCACGTTTGAATACAAAGGCCGGGCCCGCCGCACCCGCGCCCCGTCGGAAGGGCAGAGCGGCGGCCTCGGGCCCCGGCCGCCTTTGCCTGCGGTCCAGCGGTAGCGCCGGGGCTGTGCCCAGCACCGCAGGACCCGCGGGAGTGACCCAGACCCCCATCCCCGCCCAATCTGGTCCCGGCCCCCCCCTGTGCCCCGGGGAAGGCAGGGGCCGCCCGCCCCATCGGGCCCCACCACACGACGGTCCCAAGCCCCCCCCTCTCGCCCCAGGGCCACAAAGGGAAGACAAACACGTTTCTATTTACAAAGTATATATTTAAACTCACATAAAAAGCAGGTCTCATACGGACATTCACAGCTGGCAGAAGACACGTAGTTAAGCTTCACTTCAGAGACTGAGATTTAGCCAAATCGGGTTTTTATACAAGTCTTAGATTTAAATAGTTCACGCACACACATCCCCACGCGCACACACTCAGTATATACGTTGCTATATACATACACACATATACACCCACATGTACGTTTTGCCCCATATACACGTGTGTCGCGACGCACACGTACAGGCAAGATGGAGCCATGTCTTGGCCGGGCAGAAGGGCAGCTCTGGGCTCTTCTGCAAGGGGAGGAATCCTCCAGCCCCAGACATGGCAGTGGGAGGAGGGGCAGCTCAGTCCCATCACCATCCCTCCAACAAGACACGTGTCCCTTGGGAGCTGCCCCAGCACCAGCACCAAAACGAGCACATTGGTTCTTAGTACAATCAGTTTAAAATCTCAGTTTTTACAAAATATGCCTTAAAAAAAGGAACAAAACAAAACCTTAAAAAAAAAACAACATAGAACTCAGAGACATGCTCCCTCTGCACAGCCAATTCAGCATTCTCCCACTAGACCATCCAACAGAGATCCCACAAGAAGGCAACCAAGCAAGATGGACCCAAAAGCAAAGGACTGCTCCTCTTCCCAGCCCTTTCCTGGCCCATCAGGCTCCCTGTGCTGTCACCCCATAGAGCTCTGCACCAAGAACCTTCCGGAGCTCAGCTGGGGCAGTGATGAGGAGGGACAAGGGTGACCTGACCCAACATCAACTTGTGCTTTCCAACCCTGAGCGATGCTCGGAGCAAGGACAGGGACACCCGCTGCACCTCAACCAAAATCACAGCACGGGCCAGGGTCCTGCTCCCCATCCAGGCCAGGTGAGCAGGAGGGAGCTGAGCAGGGGATGCAGCCCCCTGATCCCCACATGGCCACCACTCAACCTGGCCAGGCAGCCACCCAGCGCCACAAACCCTGCCCCAGTCTGGGGAGAAAACCAGCCTGGTCTGGGAAGCCTGGAGAAAACAGAGGCAAAGGAACCAGAGCCAGGCCCGGAGTCAGCTGCGCACGCACGGGAATATTTCGCCTCTCGGCTATTGTTTAACCAGCATAAGAAAAGGGAAATATTTATTGTCTCTGAATGCATAAAGGTGGCTCTGGGATTTGTCAGAGATGTGGGTATTATAACACACTTGAACTGGAGCCTTCCAGCAGTCTGCAGTGAACTGTGTTTGGGAATAAAAACCAAGAAACATTAAAATCATCCACTTCCTATAATGGGATAAAGCATTTAAATACGGGCAGCGACATGCTACCCTCCCCAGCCCCTCCGGCATGCCAGGAATGTAAACAGAGGGGGTTTGGGGTTTCTTTTTTGAATTGGGTGGGGGAACAGAATCAAGCGACCAGACAAAATGAAAACAGATTCTCAGCTCAGTCCCATCTCCCACAACTGCTACGACAACTCTATTAAAGTGCATTTCAGTACCACCCCGCTCCGGAACCTCACACACAGGAACCTCCTCTGCCTTGGCAAGAAAAGGTGATTCAAGTTAATACTCTGCTAGAACAGTTTGAGCCTTTTTATGGATTTCTGCTTTTCCCCACCCAGACTTTTAGCAACATCCCTTTATTTTTTCTCTCTCCATCAGCCTGGAAACGCCCCCTCCCCAACAATACTGGAAATTCAAGTGCTTACTTCAGCTGTCACGGCAACAGTTCTGGACACAGCACACACTTGATTGTACAAGCAACACCTTATATCACAATCAAGAAACCAGGGCACTCCGCCCTCGGAGGGAGCAACACGTCCCCCTGCACCATCCATAGCATCACATGAAAAAAGAAGAGTTTAAAAAAAACCAACCCAGGACATCATTCGCTATGAACATGGTTATGTACACGGGCTCCTGCGAGAGAGGCGTGAACTCCGTTAGTTCTCAGTTTTATTGTCCTTTCTAAGAGCAACTGAGCAGTCACTGTTGTCTCCATTTAAATAAAACAACTCAGAGTTGAAATATATATAGATATATATATATAAGCATTTTTTCTTAAATAACATATTTACATCTAATAGAAAATATAACTCTAGAGATAATCTTTCCAACGAAATGTAAGACGTAAAAAAACCCAAAAGAATAAAGAAGGAGTTAATGAATTTAGGACAGTTTCTAAATCCTCTCCAAGACAAAAAAAAAAAAAAAAAAAAAAGAAAAGAAAATTAAAAAGAAGAAAAAAAAAAGAAAAGGCCCACCAAGCTCTACCCAAGCTTTTGTCTGGATCTGACCAAAGAAAACCCCAGCACCACCTCCAACAAATTCATCGCTTCTCCTTAAAGAATCCTTGGTCCGTGCTGCTCTCCTTGATGGTGACGGTCAAAAAGTTAGAGGTCACATCAGTTACCACCACCTTCTCCAGATTGTTGAGCGAGGGGCTCCAGGACTCCTCCTCAGGGTCCCCCAGGATCCTGGAGACGGGGATCCTGGCGATGAGGGAGGGCCGCCCCGCCTGGCCCCCCATGCCATCACGGTACAGGCTGCCCACGGCACCCGGACTCACCGCGCTGTGCAGGAGCTTGGGCCCGCCGGGGTCCAGCCCTCCCTGCCCCTTGGGGTCCAGAAAGTCCGCGCGGTGCTTGGCCAGCCGCGGGGGGTAGCTCTCGGCGGTGCCCAGCTTGGTGCCCACCTCGGCTCGGTTGGGGCCGGGCAAGGTGCCAGGGAGGTCGGGGTCCTGCCGCCGGGCCAGCTGGATGACGCTGTGTCCCGAGCTGAACTTGGCTCCTGCTGCTGCCTCCTCCATCTTCCTGGCCTTCAGGTAGTCCCCCACCTTGTCCCCCGGATCCCCCAGTTTCCTCTTGGAAGCATCCAGAGTCTCTGCCAGGTCCTTGTAAAGCTCCTTCCTGGGCTTCGGGCCTCTCTTTTTGGGGATCTCCCCGGGTTTCTCTTCCACGCGGATCACCCGGTCCCGGATGCCGTCTCCCTTAGGGGTGCTGGTGCCGGAGCTGCCCTGCGGAGCCAAGGCTATGTTTCTCAGTCCTTCCCTAGCGCGGGACGTGGAGCCCAGCTCCTGGGGGGACCTGCCGGGATAAGGCACCCGGATCCCTCTGGAAGAATCGCTGCGGAATTCATAGGTTTTGGCTTTTGCTTTTGCCTGGGCCTGCAAAGGAGATAAATCAACGGGTGACTTTATTATCCTGCCATCCGGCTGTGTAATTACAACTTACAAGACAAGAGGCTGCCTTTGGCGAGGAGGACCCTCCACAGGGGCTGAGGGGATCCCACTCCCCATCGTGGCACGCCGCCGGCACACGCGGGGCTCCAACCTCCTTACCTTCAGCAGGAAGGTTTTGGGCTTGGGGCCTCGCTTTTTGGGCCCATAGAGCTCCATTTCTCTCTCCCTAGAGGTGTTAAAAAAAACAAAGCTTCAATTCAGCATAGCTACAAGACAGCAACATATTTACAAGCGCAAGGGCTGCAGCGAGCAAAAGGCCTTGTACCTCTCCTCGAAGGCTGCGAGCAGACGGGCGTCCAAGATGTTCTCCTCGGGCTCCCAAGTGCTGTACCTGCGCAGCAGTGCAGGGAGAGGGGCATAAATAAATCAAATTGAAAATACGGGGTATAAATAAGGAGCCACCCCCCCCCCCCGCAACCCTCGGACCCGGACTTACTTCTGCGACCAGCCCTTCCATTTGACCAGATACTCCATACGCCCCTGCGGACGCAGACAGAGAGGTGAGGGGAACGAAACGAACCCGCACGGATGCAAAACGGCGACGGGCGCCCGCAACAAAGCTCCCGCCCGCGGCTCCACGCGTGGGGCGGGAGGGAGGGGACGGGCGGAGCGGGGCGGGAGGCGCAGGGGAAAGGGGGAGCGCGACGGAGAGATGCGAGGCTGCTGAGAATCAGGAAGGCGCGGAGGGCGGCAGCGGGGCCGCCCGGGCATGCGGCGCGGAGAAAGAGCCGCCCCCAGCGGGCGCCCAGCCGCGAGCGGGCCGAGGCGGCGGGGCCGGGGGCCGGGGGGCTCGCGGTGCGGGGCGCGGGGGTGCCCCGCGGCGGCGGGGGGAGGCACCTACTTTGCGGATGCGGCGCTTGAGCAGGGCCTCGGCCGCGAAGACGCGCTCCCCGACGGCCGAGAGCTCCATGTTTACGCGGCCGCTCGCAGCACACAGGCAGCCGCCAGCGCAGCCCAGACCATAATACTCCGCCCGCTGACGTCAGCGCCGCGGCCGCCCGCCCCCCCGGTCCCCCCCGCACTTGTTGCTGCCGGAGCCGGGTGGAATATTCCGCCCGCACCGCATTGGCTGGCGCCGCGGCCCCGCCCCCCGACGTGAGCCGCGTCCCGATGAGCGCGGGGCGGGGCCGGCGGCGGGGGCGCGCGGGGAGGGCGGGGCGGGGAGGAGGACACGCCCCCTTCCCCCGCGCGGGAGGGACACGCCCCCCCCCGCCGCGCCGCTCCCGAGGACCGGGGGGGCAACCCCGGTGTGGGGAAGAGGATCCGGGATGGGGGGGGGGGGGAGTGGAGCACAAAGACACAGCCCCCACCCCCCCGCACCCCATCCCCGCCAGAGAGAGGAGGCGCTGCCGCTGCCCCCCGCAGACCCAGTGCGGGGCGGGACGTGGATGGGGCAGACCGGACCGGGACACGCGCACACCGTGGGCCGCCCCTCTGCGCCCTGCGGGGTACGGACAAAGGGGACGGTGTCAGGGGTGGGAGCGCTCCCGCACAACCCACCCTGCCCCGGAGCGGCGGCGAGTATCCGTGCACGGCGAGAGCAGACAGCACCGGCAGAGCGGGGATCAGACGAGCCCGGTTTCTCCGCCCCTGTTCCGCTCCCCTGGAAGCCGAGGGTGCACGGGGGCCAGCGGAGAAAACAGCCCCACAAGGGATCCGGTGTCGCCCCCCTCGCCCTGTCACCCCTCAGCAAAATGAGATGGGGGAGCGGGTGCCAACGAGGGGCAGGCAGCTGGTACCGGGACCTGCCTACTCCCCCTTCCGCCTCCTCCCCTCGCCCTACCGCGTCCCGCTCGCGAGCCGCCGCTGTCTCCCACCGTGAGTCCGTCCCCGAGGAGGCCACGGGAATCCGAGACACGCGTGTCAGAGCCGCAGGGAACGGGTCCAGCCTCTGGGAGAGCAGAAGCCCCAAGCGACCTTTTCCCCGCCCGAAGCCAGGCAAGATCCCGAACTCGGGGATGCTCCGAAAAGCCCCGGTCAGCCGAGGGGCACAGCTCCCGCTCCTGGGGCTGTCCCGTGCGTGGGACCCGCAGTACCAAGGCCCGGTGCAGAGCGCGCTTCAGCCGCCGTGTCCACGCAGGATGGGGCCAGGTGAAGTCTCTTCTAAGCCAGTCACACACCTTCCCCGCGGATCTCCTCCGTTAAGCACCACGAAGCCGCCGCGCTCACGCGTGGGAGATCCCACGGTGAGCGTGGCCCCTAGGATCCGATTGTTCCTGCTTCCCCGTAATGAGACCGTGGCTCCCCCAGCCCGGGGCTCTGCTTTGGAGGAGTTTTGCCGCGGGGGGGGACGCCGAGTCACTCGTGGCTGTGGGACCACGTCCTCTGTCAGCCTGCCTAGTGCAGGGGCTGCGGAGCACTTGCCTTCCGCCGGCCTGAGACCCCACCGGGGGAAAACACCGGCACCGAGGTACACCGGGACCGGCAGCGGGGACCGGCAGGCACCGGCGTTGTCCCCATCCCGAGGATCATTGTGTCCTGGAGCTCCTGCCCGGTCCCGCCACACCAGCAGCCGTGGACTTCCAATGGAGTCACGGAAACTGCGGTTCCCTTGCGTTGGGGGGGACCCGGGTGGGAGCCTCCACGGGGTACTCGCGGGGCTCAGAGCCTGCCCTCCCGCCGCCGCTGGCGGAGCTGAAGCCGCATTCACCGGAGGAGGGGGTCCATCCCCCACCGCGTTTCGCCCGGCGCGGCGCTGGTGCGGGGGGGGGTGCTCCCTGCCGAGCGACGTCCCGGGGAGATTTTCGTTAATATCGAATTAATCGTTATTAATTAAGGTCGGTCGGGGAGCGTCTGGTGAATGGGTGGAGACGCGGCGGCCGAGTCCCGATACCGGGATGATGCCACGCAGGAAAGCGATATGGTGGCAACGGCAGGGAGGCCCGGCCCGAGGGGTGCGGATGGTCTTCCTGTGCCGAACGGTGCCCGTGCCGCAGCCTCGTCCTCTGCTCGGGGATCCCGAGGCGGCAGCGCCCATCCCCGCGGCCGTGGGGTGCCGCAGCCCGTGGAAACGGGTGCTTGCCCGCCACCTTCGTTGCCGGTGTCCCGGTGCCGGTGAGAAGCACAGTCCCGGAGCCGATGGTCCCCACACTGAAGCCGTGACCGAGCATCGGAACTCCCGACTGAGCAGCCGCCCGTCATCCACGCGTGGGGAGGCAGAGCGGAGCGGGCCCGTTTCTCGCCGCCGCCAGTGCGTGCACCAGCCGCGGGAACAGCTCCGTCCCCAGCCGTGACCGGTGCGGGATGCACGCGTGGTCCGTGCTTGGCCCCCGGTTTCTTGGGGGGGGGGGGAATGTCGCAAACGAGAACGGCGCGGGGGAAGCAGCGAGGAGAGGCCGCCGGTGGGTAGGGGTCCGGAGGCAGCCCACGGGCGGTAGGCCAGCCAGGGCCGGGGCTGCGGCCACGCATGGGAGCCTTGGCCCGGAAGGAGAAGCGGGACGGAGCAGACCCGGCGCAGGGGGACGAGACAGAGGCGGAGGGACGGCTCCGGCTCCCCAGGGCAGTTCTCGCCGCTGCCGGCGGGGACTCAGGGATCTCATTCGCCAGGGATCGGAGGCGCTGCAGGGACCCCCGCCCGCCCTCATGGGTCACCGGGCGCAGGAGCGGAGCCCGGACACCGGCCGCCCTCCGCGCTGCCGGGGTCAACGGCAGAAGCTGCCCGGGAGCCCCAAGGGGTCTCAGCAGGGGGGGGCCGTCGCCTCTGCACCCCTCCCACGCCGCCGGCCCCGACCCTGCCCCGGGAGACCCGGGGCTCGGCGGGGACTCGGAGACGGCTCCCACCCGGCGAGGGCGTGTGCGGCCGCGGACAACCCCGAGTTCCGTCCATCTGACCCCAAATCCGCTCCTCTGTTGCCAGGTCTCCGCTACCCCTGCCCGTACTCGTGCGATGAGCCTCTCGGCTCTCAGCGAGTCCCCGCGGGTCACAGCGTCCGGCTCCCCCCACGTTTCTTGTTGCGCGGGGGCTGCCACGGCTGCGGGATTTGCAACGAAACCGGGGGCTGCTGCACCCCCCCGGGACCGCGCGTGGGGCAGCGGGGGGAGCACGCGTGTCCGAGCGCGGCGGGGAGGCGGGGGAGAGCCGGATCCGACCCAAATATCGTCGCGATCGATCCCTGCGGCTTCTGTCCGCTTCGGTGACCGTGCTTTGGAAGCCGCTCCGCCCCACGGACACCCGAGCCCTGGACTGCCAGCAACCAGCCCAGCTCTCTGGCCGGCCCGGTTCCCTGAGCGGCAGAGGATGCCAGTGTCTGTCGCAGGCACGTTCACGCCACGGTCGCGCTCCCTCGTGTCCTTTTCTCCTGGCAAACCGAAGATGGCCCCAGCGCTGCGGCCGCGGGGAAAGCGGGGACCGAGAGAGTCAAAGTCAGCCCCCCGCCTGCCAGGTCCCGAACTGACCCCGCAGCCCGGCAGGAATTCGCGTTCCGGGAGAGGCACCCTGCAGGGCAGCGGGTACCGCCGGACAGGGCAAAATAAGGCCCGGAGCCTCATTCCATGAGAGTTCCCTGCGTGTGTGGACACCCACCCGCACCCTGGGGGCGGCAGGTCCCCGGGTTCCCGATCCTCCCCGCTGCCGGGTTCTGCTCTGGGCTTCTCCCAGGTCCGGTCCCGTCCCTGAGCCAGCTGGGAAAACGATTCTCTCCACCTGCGGCTGAACGGAGCAGGGACGAGCCCCGGGGCAAATCCACGCTGCCCCGGGCCGGTGCCGGGCTGTCCCGGTGGGGCGGGAGAGGACTCGGGGACCCCGCGCCCCACCGGCCCCCGCCCTCACCGGGTCTGGGTCACCCCGGCCTCCCGCCCGTTGCCTTTTCGTTTCCGAGCCACTTGGGGCGAAGCAGGGAGGCAGCGACCGACCCCGGTCTGCGGCACCTACCCCCAAAGCCGGAGCAGGAGAGGAGACGCGGCCATACAGGGGGCTGCGGTCAGGCGTGGGCTCGCTGCTGGTGGGACCGGGTTCTTTGCCGCCTCGCCTGTAGCTCCGCATCCCCCGGTGCTACCGATTCTGCTGCCGGCGGGGTCCTGGGGGTGCCCGGTCCGCAGAGATGAGGTCTCCGGGAGTGCCCCTCGGGGCCGCTCCTTCCCGCTCCCACACGCAGAAATTCCCGTGCGAGGAAGTTTCCGTATCCACTTGTTTGACATAGAATAGTTAGGGTTGGAAAGGACCTTAAGATCATCTAGTTCCAACCCGTCTGCCATGGGCAGAGACCTCACACTAAAACTGACATCGAATTGAGGGTGCTGCTCTCTTTCCTCCTGGGCTCGGAATGGAGCCCCCGAGACGGTGGGAAGGGCTCCGCAGAGCCTCCGATTTGGGGGATACCCACTACAGGCTGTGCTAGCTGGAGCACGTCGAGCACCGCGAAGCTGTGGGTGCCGGGCAGAGCCGCTGCTCTCCGCCCCATCGGCCGTTATTCACCGGTTATCGTGGCCTTTGCCAGACGGTGCAGGAACCACACCCGTGAGCAGCCCCGGGACAGAGCGGGGCAATCGCCCTCACTGGCAGCCGGTGCTGGAGGACAGCGGCGACCCCGCCAACAGAGGCGGCAGAGCCTCGTCCGGCGCCTTCGGTTCAGTCCGGCCCGGCTCGGCCCCGGGGGACGGGCTCGGAGAGCGGTGGGCACGACCCGGGCTCGTCCCCAGGGTGTCGCACGGACACGCGACACTTCCCGCCGCCCCGATTAATTCCAGGTGCTTTCCATAGGTGGCACCGTCCTCCTGGAAATGGCGGCAGCGGCGCAGCCGGTGGCGATCCCGCCACCCCGAGGGGCACCGCAGCTCCGCCGACACCGAACCCCCAGCTCCGCCGGCTGCGGCGGGGCCGAGCGCCCGCGGGCTCAAGCGAGGCTGAAAGCGGAGCCCCCCACCGGGGAACTCGGCGGGGCCATCCACGGGGAGCCGCGAGGGCAGCGCGCCCGCTAGCCGTGGTCCCGGCGTGCTGACACGCACCGGGAGCACCGGGGCCGTCCCCCGCAGCTCTGCGGGTCGCACCGATACCCCCGAGGGA